AGCACACGGCCCCCGATTTCCTAAGGAATGAATGAATGAATGAATGAATGCGCTGGCTGGGCAGATGGATAAAAGGTAGAGAAACAGCCAAGGAGCCTTGGCAGATTTCGACTGCGGACAGTAAACACGAAGGGGTTCCCAGCCAGTGGGGCTGGGGCTGGGGGTGGGGGTTTCTGGGGGCCCCGGGCTGCAGAGGTTGGGGAGAGAGCGATCAGGTGAGCAGGGTCGGGGCGGAAAGCCCCACGCTGCCCTGCTCTGGACAAGTAAGCAGCCCTTTTGCTGATGCTGTGGGTGTGGGTGGGGCAATAAAAGGGACAGCGGGGGCCTTGAGTGCCCGCTGAAGCTGAGTGGACCTGTGGCTGGTGGGAGTCAGGTGGGGAGGAAGGGAGAACGGACATGGGCAAGGAGGAAGGGGTGGAGGGAGGTGGAAGAGGCCCGCCTCATTCTCATCTGCTCCTCTGCCCCCCCCCATTGCCCTGGGGCCTCTGTCCTGGGAGTGAGGATCATGGGGAGCCAAGAGGCAGGGCTGGTGTGGAGAAACCCGCATTCAAGGACCCCTCCCCCCCAAAAAACCACAGGGTCAGCAAGCGGGCCTTTCACCTATTTGCCCCCCAGCTACAAGGTCACCAGGACAGAGCTGTGCCCAGCTCAGCTGCCCCTGCCTGGTCCCACCCCACTGTGCACCGGACGGGCCCTGGTGGCGCTGCTGCCCAGCCTCTAGCTGAGGCCAGGAGGTCTGTGAGGCCTGAGAGCAGAGCCTCCAGTGCCTGGGATTGGCTGAAGATTAACCTTGGACTGGGGGGGTGGCCTGGGGGGGTGGCCTGGTTGCGAGGCTGGGCCCGAAGCTGGCACTGTCTCACCAGGAAGACGGGGTGGAGACCACCTGTTCAAGGCCAGTCCTGGAGAGAGGGGGTGGCGTGCAGGCAGTGTCCTGGGCCAACTCACCGAGGGCCAGGGCTCATGCCCCATCCACGTCCCCCGGGTCTCTCTGGCCTCCCTATTACACGTGTGGGTTCCATTGTCCTGAGTGGGACACTGGGGGTCTCCCAGCCTCAGAAGGAATCCAAGGAGGGGGAAGAGAATCACCAACTAGGCCCAGCACCACGCGAGCAGAGGCGGGTCATGAAGAGCAGCAGTCCCCGGCCTGGCCCCCACCCAGAGCTCAGCTCCAAGGCTCTGCCACCCTCTGGCCCAGGGAGCTCTTGTCTGAGGCAGTTTGGGGAGGGGCCCCAGGGCACTGTGTGGCTGGTTCCATGTGGCCTGGACCAGGGAGCAGCCCAAGCCCTCAGTTTGCAGAGGAGGAAACTGTCCTCTGGTCTCCCCTAACCCTGGAGCTGAGTGTCCCCATGACCTGGGGTCAGAGCCCAGCTGAGAGCAGTCCCTACACTGGGCTTGAACTTTGACCTCCACCAAACTCCCAGTCCAGCTCCCAGGCCCCTCCACATAGATGACCTCCACCGGGAAGGGGAGTTCCAGCCTAAGAGGCGAGCCAGGCATGAGTGACCCCCAAAGATGCGGCCACACACGGGAGATCAATCCAGCCTGAAGGAGCAGGCCCGGGGCAGACACTGCCGAGCCCCAGGGGAAGGAATGACCGTGTGAGTTAGTGAGTGAGTGGAGCCCACTTGGGGAGGGGCGGGAGGACACTGCGGAGGGTCAGCCCAGGTTGTGCGTGGAGACAGCGGAGCCTGCTGGTGAGCGGACCCACAGACAGGAAGGACAGGGGCCGGGCTCAGATGCAGTCCCAGGCCTCCGGTGAAGGTCAGGTTAAAGCCCAGAGGTGCAGGGACGCTCCAGGACTGAGCCGGAGAGGAGCGGGGAGAGCGGGGACCAAGCCCTGGAAAGGGCCGTGGTCAGGGCTTCTTGTCCCCGCTCCGGACACACCTGTTCCAGGCAGGCCCCGCCCCAGGCGCCCGCGGGGAGAGTCCACAGGCCGAGGGGCTCCGGGAGGAGGCCAGGGTGCGGCCAGGAGGCCCGGGCCTC